ATGGCACACAAGAATTGAAGTAATACAGACCCTTGTTCAATATTTGAATTCTAAGTTTACAATTTGAATTTGCAAATCACCCATGGATGCATTTTGCAACTACAATTTATTACAAATGCACACAAATGTAGGAGAGCTGCTCCAAAAGTAAAGCCTCCTATTTAATTATGTAACTCACTGTGGCAGAGGCAGATGTTGGTGGTATGGCAGTAGAGGCTGAACCTCCCCAAAAATGTTCCATTACATTTTGTTGACATGTGACAAAAGGCAGCTGAGGGGCGAGTTTGACAAAATGGCACCTGACATGAGAGTGCAATGAAGCAAAGGGATGGAATTTAATTCCTTCATGGGGAAGAAAGCTGCATCCATCGACATTCATCAACACTTATTGCTCATTTATGGAGACCAAACAGAAGACGTGAGCACAGCGAGGTGGTGCATTTCAGCAGTGGTGATAACATTATGAAAGACAAGCCACGCTCCACACAGCTGTGCAATTTTTATTATTTTTTTTTTTTTTAATGAGTGTGACATGCAGACTCTTATTCACTGCCTGTGAAAATGCACAGTTAATGATGGTATCCATGTAGAAACGGTGTATTGTAGCTGAGAATCTGTTCTATCAAATAATGTTATTGTCCTTTTTGTATCTGTTTTAGTTTCCATGGTAATAAATAAGAGGCATTACTTTTGGAGCAGCCTACATATACATGTGCTGGCTGGCTTCTAGACATCAGTAAGAATCTGGTAGTTCATGAGATGACAGAAGTACTGACAAAGGAACTACCAGCCTTTGGTACTGGTAATTACACTTTGCCAGTAATTATGCAGATAGATTTCAGGCTGTTTCTGATTTCCCTGTGATGTCGACATACAAGTTACCCATTTAATGAAGGTGAACCATTACACAGAATATTCCATGAGCATATCAGACTGGGGGAGATGCTGCTCTGTTGAATACACTCTGTAGAAAGAGCACTTAAAAGGCATTATCACAAGTTGTGAAGGAAAGCTTTAGGAATCAGTGCTACAAATACTGCATCCTTGATGCTATATACCTAAATACTACTAAAGCGATCTGTGAGATCAGAGCATACAATCTTACATTTCTAATGTAGAGCCAAAAAGATTTAATCCTACCCTTGTGTCTTCACAGCCTATTACAGGTAAGTGAAACATAAAGGTGATGTACAGGGGGGCCTGTGATTTAATGATGAAGAGACATGAGAGTCTGCTTGATGGGATAGGATGTAAGGCTCAGTTTGCAAGAGGAAATGTTAGGCAGGAAGGAACAGAGGCAGTTTGCCAGCTTTCTACTGTGCAGAAACTGAAAATCTAAGAGTTCAGGTAGGGCTCAAAAAAATAAAGGTAGAACCCTGTGCATCACATATGACTTTAAAAACCATATTATTATACCATTCTCCATATTTCACAACAGTCCTGTAAGATACATACATAGATGCTACTGTAGCTGGGCTACACAGGTATTTAGAATACAGTAAAATTGTATGAGCATGTAAGCATGATTTGCAGATTTGCAGTGAGGAAGCTTTTAGGATCTGTGTTTTTTTTCAGGCAGATCTCCAGCACTCAGATCAACGAGAAGGATTTCAGATAAGTTCCATATGGAGTGAAGATCAAAACCAGATGGAACAGAAATATGAATGGAGGGGCCATACAGCAACACAGCCACAACAGACAGCATGGTGCCACTGGGAGTACCTGTAACACCTGGGGCAGCTCCCATCAGCTCTGCTGCCAGCTCCCCTGGTCACTTGTGTTTGTAGGGATTTGCTGATAAGCGTATTAAATGAGCCTTGAGAAAAGACACTGTAGTTCCTAAACATCCTGAAAACCTGTGTGTACCCTGGTAATAAAGGGAAGACGCAGAGCTACGGGCAGTACTTTACTTTATAACACTAAATATTATTATGAATATACATAATTTATACTAAATACAAAAAAAAAAAAAAAAAAAAAAAAACACAAGACATCAACATCCTCTATGTGAGGTTTAGTTTAATACACATCTAACTAGTACATATATTGCTGTCAGTAAAGCTTGTGTGTTCTTCTCTGCACCAGTATTGCAATGAGTGGAAACTCTGAGGCTCAGAGCTCGAAGCATATGGAATTTTCCAGGTCACATGTGAAGCCAAGCACTGGACTCCGCTGGGCAGGCAGAGGGAGAAACTGAATTCTAACCATATGTTTTGAAATGAAACAATATGCTCTTCTGTTATAGCTGAAGACTTCAATAACCACTTTACAGTCAGCAGCAATAAAAAGGGAAAGTAATACTGAAATAACATTTGCCATGGAATAGAAAGTAATTACAGCATAGAAATGAGAATGCCCAATGTATATATCACAAGTCTGACGCACGACAATATTAAGTTATATCATTTCCATCACAATATTTATTAGGACTTTCTTTTAAAGGACAAGAATTAAAACAAGTGGGATTCAGTTGCCATACAAAATATTCCAGGCAAACACAGAAGCACTTGTGCATTTCATAGGATCACAAAAACTGATCTGTCCCTTTACCAGCTGAACGATGACCAGGGGCAGAGAAGTGTGAAAATTCAAAGCTTAACATCTAAGTGCGATGGTAACAAACATCCACACGAAGCTGGGTAAAGCCTAGCATACCTCGGAAGCACAGACAGCTGCATTGCATCAGTCTCATTCCATGACTCAGAGCACGCTGTACCAGGCAGTACACACACCCTCTTTGGGCAGGATGTGTTCTACCATTGCACGCCCCTGCAAAAATCACTTTGGTATTTTGCTTTTTCTGCCCTGCTTTGCTTTACTTCACCCAGAATTTGTGAGGATTGGAAATTACTGCTGGAACATCACTTAATCAAAAACAGTCCGGAAAATAAAGTGATTTTAAATGCAAGCCTACTGTTCCCATTAGCCTTAAATTATTGTACTATTTCATTGGGGGAGTGCTTTTAATTCCCACTCCTACCAGTAAAAAGCAAATAAATAAAACAAGAGAGATACACAGATTAAACTCTTCCCAGCTCTCAGATTCTGGTCTTGCTGTGATATCTCTGATTATCTTTTGACTTAATCTCAGCGTTTTCCTGTTGCTATGTCATTTACATCATGCTAGTAGATTCCTGCAATCGATGTGATGTGCACACACTTCAGATTTTGCATTTGCTCCTCACAGTGCAATCACAGAATCACTAAAACTTCAATGTTTTTCCTTATACTAACTTACTGCACTATAATCAGCAGTGTTTGCAATACCACTTATGGTTTAATGAAAGCAATTACAAACAAAAGTCAAAATTTGTTTCCATGGAACTGAAAACAAAGGCACTCTCATAATATCACAGGCCCAGAATCTGACAGCAACTTGCCAAATTGTTTTACATCTACTTCTCACTCTAAACATTGAAGATCATCTTCAAAATTTGCAAAATAATAAACAGATAGAAATGAGCCTTTCATGCAGTTAAACCCTGCAAACCACTGAAATTCTAATTCTAATGTGTGAAATTCTAGAATTCTAATGTGTGTGTATTCCAGGGCCAGGAAGTTCCAGGTCTGTTGCTTCTTCAAGCTCAGACAGATTAGATGGCCAAGGAACACACTAGGATTCACCTGCAGCTATAAGGCAAAGTCTGGCTCCATTAAGAGGTTCTCATTTCATGAAAACTAAACTGCCATTCTTACACCTGCACAGCACAGAATAATCACACGTCACCGAAACAAACTTGGCAGGGCCTCTTGGTTCAGCCTAGAAAACCTTTTGTCACAGTGCACACAAAATAGAGAAAAGCCTTCATGTTTTTCAAGAACATCAGGCACAGCCTGATGACAACAGGTAACCTCACACATGCAGATTGAAGGCAGCATTTGGGTATTACTATCCCCAGCAACACAAAGATCCACATGGTTCTGGGAGAGAAGCAGTGGGTGCCCCATCCCTGGAGACTTTTGAGATCAAGCAGAAACAGGCTCTGAGCACCTGACAGATCTGTGGGTGCCCCTGTTCATTACAGGGGGTTGGACTGGATGACCTTTAAAGGTCCCTTCCAACTCAAATACTTCTATGAATTACAGAACAAAGATAGATTTGTGTTCTATAGCTATAAGAATAAGCGTCTGGCTGGAGATTGCAGTGGCCCGTAAAGATGGCACCGGCCCTCATGATGCAACTTATCTACAGCCCAAATAGATATACCAAGTCTGTTTTAGGGCACAATTTGGTTCTCATTTATAAAAGTAGCCTTGCTGTGACTTCCATATGAGAATTAAAGATACGTTTGGCTTCTAATTGCAGGAAAGCAAGGAGAGAAGAGTGACCAGGGAGAGATCTGCTGGAGTCCCAGACTCACCAGCACCAAACTTGCAGCCTCAACCACCTGGCCTTTGAGATGGTAGAAGGCTACAGCAGACTGTGAGCCATACGCAAAGTGCACCACGTCTGAACTACACTTTCCATGCTCAGAGTCAAAAGCAATCTTCCAACATAGCCTTCATTCACCAAATGGTGCTGGCAAACAGCCCACCAACGGCTGCCACATTCATCTCTCCAGTACTCTGCCGGGCACTCACTAAGCAACGAGAAGTGGCACATCTCTGTTGGCCTCTGTTATCCTTTCACCGATGGCGAAGAAGACCAAACAGGGATCATTGCGGGGAAGGAGCAGTGAAGGGAAAGTGGTAACTGAAAGTCGGGGGATGCCCACAAGAACAAAAAGGGGAAAGAAGGGGGGCAGAGCGCTGTCAGTTCGGTCCCATTTTAAGCCCAGGACCCCAGCTGGGGGGGAGGCCGCAGCTGTCGGGCAGCCCCCGGCCCTCCTCCCTGAAGCCCAGCCGAACGGCCCCAAACTCGCGTAACGCTGAGGCAGACCGCTGCCTCCTCCCACCCCCTCCCCTCCCCGGAGCCCGCCCGTCCCCTCGCCCCGGCAGCCAATGGCACGGAGCGAGGTGCTGCCTGCGGCGGCCGGGCGGGGAGCAGAGGAGGAGGAGGAGGCGGCAGGCGCTGCTCGTCGCTTGCTCCCCGGCTCCGGGCGCTCCTGAGCCGCGCCCTCGGTTCCCTGCCCCACCGATACCTGCAGCATGGACTCGGACTCCGGGGAGCTTAGCGAAGGCGAGCTGGTCTCACCTGCAGGTAAGAGGACCGCGGTGATGCTGGGGCTGACTGAAAGCCGCCGATGCTCGGCGCGGGGAAGGACCGCCGCCGTCCCGCCTGAGGGAGCGGCTCGCGGGACTCGGTCAGCTCTCGGGATGGCGGGAGCTCCGCGTGCCGCACACAGGCTGCAAGGAGCAGGAGGAGCGCGGCAGCTCTCTGTCCCGGCCGTTGCCCGCCAGGGGACGGAGAGAGTTACAGCCACGCGTGACGTGACAGCCGGTTACATGAGCAGCGCTGGCGCTAATCTGAGCCATTGTGCTTTATATCCAGAGGGGGAAAAGTTTCTAAGGCTGCTCGGGCTCCCGCTGCAGGACCTCGGCTGGCGGCCGCTTGCAGGCGGTTAGCCCGCCCTCAGGCCGCCGGACGGCTTCGGTTTGCGAGCCCTAACTTTTCACCAAAAGAGCGTACAAATGCTGCTGCTGCTGCGCTGCAGCCTGCGTAGTTCTTAGATGAGGCAGAAGGAAGAGGAATAATAATAATCCCTCCTGCTTTTCCAAATCTCCACATTCTCACGTCCTGTGCAGAACAATAAAAAGGGTGTAATCAAACGGTGCCCTCTGCAAGCAATGAAATGGAGGCAAACTTGCATGAAGTCCAACGCTACAGAGGGAACCGGCTCTACCCCTGCGGCTGGTGCACAGCCGTGGGCTCAGGGCCAGCTGCCCGGCGGTGTGGGCTGTGGTGGGGGCACTGGCAAGGGCTGACCGAAGTGCAGGCAGATCCACGTCCCCTCCAGCTGCCCACCGTGCTGGCACCTCCTATGAGAGCATTAAACCAGTGTGAGACTAGCAAGTGCAATTGGAGTAAAGATCACCATAAACAGACAGGAAGTTACCGTGTTATGTTATGAAGTAGTCTGCGAGAAACACATTTTCACCTCCGTCTACTTTAGACCACAAGGATCTCTGAAATCTCATAGTAGTTCTGTTAGCACAGATGGGACAAACAACCTTAGGAAGCCATAAGATAAATAGGTGTCATCTCATCTAACCTTTATAGTCTTCAGTCTGATCCAGTTTTATCTATTAGAGGCATCTACTTGCAACAACTTGCTTTGTATTTTCTTATTTCTTTCTCTAGATTTTTAGTAAGACTGGTAACAGGTGCTACAGCTCCTTACAGACATAAAGCTCTGTTAAGCTGAAGTTATCAACAGAGATCACCAACAGTTGCAGTTTGTCATCCAGATACACAAAGCAGTGCCTGAAGTTACAAGTGTTACATTTATAAAGGAATTAACATAGTATAGCTCCACATGCCAACATCATACTCCTGCAGTAAAAAGATTTTTCTTTTAAATAAATTGAAAGTAACTATACTTAGAGACTGCCATGTGTATTTTATGTCATCACTTGCTAGCTGCCAAGAGCTGATGTTCATCATGCTCCTCTGCACTTTTCCTTCTTAGTGCTAGATGAGGGAAGAAGAGCCTGGCATTTTGACTGAACGTGGTAGATGCCTATAGAATAAAATTGGAACAGAGTGAAAACTGTTTTTGTCTTAACCAGCTGCAATCAGGTTTCCCTAAATTGAAGTGTTATTGCTTGCTGTTTGTATCCCTCACCCTCTCCTGATTTTCCCCCCCCTGCATCTCATTTGGTCTTTCTCTGTACAGTGCCATATGTGCAGTGCAGTACCTCGCTGACCGTGGGTGTCCTGCTGTCAGTCACTGCTGCAGGCACAGAAGCAGAGAGGCTGCAGCACAGCTTTCAGTCACTGTACCATACCCCACACACCCAGTGACCAGGGGCATTCTACCTGTGGATTGCAGGGCAAGCAGAGTGCCATGGAGAAATATTTGGGTTGAAGCCCCAAGAACGTCCCAGTTGTGGCCATTGATCTCAGGACAGCTAGGGTTTCATGCCAAAAGGGCCCATTTAGCTTGTTCTCCTTTAGCAGCCCTTGCACTCCAAGTACAAACAGCAGTAACTTCAGCTTGCACAGCTGCAATCTCTTATGGCCACTGTCCAGTTTTCAAGTTGTTCACACCCAATGCAATACATCACTAACATCTTAGACGCTGGTGCAACACAGATGTTTAAACCTTGTTCAGGGTCTGCTCATCCTACAGTACTTGGCCCTTTGCTCTGCCTGGGGGAGCAGCATTGCTCCCATCACTGAGACTTGGGTGTGAGCAGAGCAGGGGTCTTCTTTGTGTGCCCCCACCATCTGCCACACGTGCTCAGCATCCAGGAGCCAGCTGGAGGCTTGCACTGAGATCCCAGCAGCCTCATTTCCTTTAATAGCTCATTTAAAGCCGAATCTCCAAGGAAGCAGAAGTAGTTTTTCTGTATTCTAAATGTGTTGTCATGATAGCATCTTTATATTTCTTTGGTGCAGGCAAAAAGCTCTTTATATGCTAGTAGCTCAAGATGTTAGCTCTACTTTAAAACAACAGAAACCACAGCTCAGCACACCAGAGCATCCAACTCCACAGCCTCAGCTTCCACCAGCCCAGCCTGCTCATACTCATCCATCACTGCTTTGCATTGAGTTGTTCATATAGTCAGGAATTATATACATTTTATATATATATATATATACACATGTACACATACAAGATAGAACCCTGCTGAAAGCACTGAACAGGTCTTTGCAGTTTTGAAAAAAAAAAAAAAAAAAGTGCATTTAGCACTACATTCAGTGAAGTTTCTTGAATTTTATTATACACACTACAAGTCATACTCCTTTTCTTGTCCTATAGATAAGCTTCTGGAAGCTGAGCAAGTAATCTTAAAATAGAACATTGTTCCCATTTTTTTCCTGTCCACCTATTGAGAGGTGTGGGGGTTTTGTTTGTTGGGTTTTTTTTTTTCCCCCTCTCATTTTTCTTTTGAAGTCCTTCAGGAGAATAATGTATTTTTCCCCCAGTTCTCTCCCAGCAGCCTACCATATGAAGGTATCATCTGCTGTGTCACCTTTCAGACCAGCGTTTCACAAAAATCCAGGTCATCTCCAATAGCAATTCTTTAGCAGTGGATTTAGGAATTTTCCTTGCAAGAGAAAGGCAGCAGACCTTCATTTGGTGCACATCGCCCTAGGGCCCTCAGCTGAAACAGCAGGAATTCAGCCAAATAGGTTTTTTTTAATACAATATTGATTTAAGCTTTTCTACAAGCTACCAGGTCAGAACAGAGGTTTCTGTGTTTGTTTAATAGAACTGTTACGCTACACCATTAACATATGGTAACTAGAAGCTTGGTCTTTGAAACAATACCGATTATTTTCATTAGGCTTAACATATCCTGCAGAGTAGACTGTTGCTGGTGCCTTCTGCGGCTTTCCTCCCACTGAAGTCAAGAGAAATTTGGCCTAGGAAAGAGAGCAGCTTGTGCTCCAAGTAGAGCTTTAAATTGGTGATAGGATTTCTTGGAACATTAGCCCTGTGAAGGCTACAGCTTTGTGTGATGCCAAGGAGAACAAGATGAAAACACCCTTACGCCAGGCTTGCATCCATAAAGACAGTGGGAGTCTTATAGTCTTCAATAGGGCCAAGATCTCACCCTGTGACTGCTGGCACAAAAACATCGATGCATTCTAAAATATTTGATAATTTCTCTGAACTCTACCCTGAGGAAAAAACACGTGCTTAGTAAAAACAACAGATTTAAACATTATTTAGTGCTGTAAAATAGCCCCGACAAACATGAATATTTTTTCCAGAGCTGTAATGTTATTTGAATCACAAATGCTTAGCAATTTTTTTTCCCTGAAAATTATTTACCACGCTGTGTGAACTGCCTGTACTTTTGTGATATTCATCTCTTGATCCTTTTGCATATTTTAACAATGTTTTACAAAGCTCAGTGCCGTTTGAAAGCCAATATAGTCTTGTAAATAGGAAGTTAATTTGACAGTGTACTGTGAGATATTTAGCAACATACAAAATTATTGGCGGCGTTGGTAACATACTTGAGTGCAAGCAGGCACATCGTAGTTTTTTTGCAATATCCTGCTGGACGTTTGAACAAATATTTATTAAATCATGATAAAGTATACTTTGCCCCAGGGAACTCCTGTGTCTTTTAATAGGAAGGGTTTCAATTTAAGAAAAGAACGTTTTGCTTTTACATGGAAAAAAAGTCACATGGAACAATATCTGCTGGGCTTCAGGAAAGCAGGCAGCAGCAGTAGGTAATAGCATGCTGTAAGCATGGAAAGAAGACTATTTTTAATGGAAGCTGCAGACTCTCCAAAATGCTTCTGTAATTAAGTGCTTACTAATACCTGTTTAACAAAGTACTCTCCCTTCTGCTGAAAAACAAACAAAAAAAAGGAAAGCTGGTTTAAATGAGAAGGACAGACAAGAAGTAGCATGTCTCAGAATCCCATACTCCAAACCCTCTTTCAGGGCTCCATGGGTGAAAATGCAGGCTGTGGCAAGCATGTACCCAAGTTCTCTGCCAGGACAGGGCAGGTGAAAGACGCCTCAGATGAAAGGGCAGCAGCTGCAGGGCAAGCCATGAGCTGAGAGCCCGCCTGGGTGAGTTCTCTTGGACCGCCTCACTCTTCCCTCCAGAGAACACATGGGCTGCTGACTGGCATACAGACCCCTCTTTAGCATAGGGACTGTCAGATTAGGAGCCTCATCCAACTGAAAAAAGTAAATCTCTGAAGGGCAAGAACCCAGTCATGCTGTGTTGGTTGTACAGACCATAAGTAATCTCATCCTTGTGAAGCTGAGTAGACTATTTGTTTGAGCAGGTCAACCTGTTCAGGCTTCTGTTCTGATATAAATCAAGTGGAAATACAACGTTCATAAAGCAGTTGATTGAAACCTAAGCCCGCCTGTTTGTGCATCTGCGGACCAGACTGCTGAGCAGCAATCATGGATAGTATATGAAGTTATTATGAAGTAATACCCTTTCTCAGCAGCTTTGATGCGCTCCAGTAAGAAATTTGTACCATAGTAAAACACATCCCTCCTGCACACGTCAGAAATAAAAGGCAGATGTCATCAAGATTTTCTTCCCACTTTT